GTAGTAGTCGTCGTCGTCTTCGTCGTAGTCCTCGTAGTAGTTAGTAGTAGCTAGTAAATTGAAGCAGTAACGTAGCAGAAGCAGTCTCGCGGTAGCAGTAGCAGAAACAGTGACGGTAAGGCATACTGACAGGACTAGCACTGCTGGAAAGCCCAGGTATTGACTTCTGAAATTTAGATACCGAGCCGGGAATGTAGCTGATACCAAGCTAGCAAGGTGGCCTCCGATTCGGTGCACCATGGCAATCGTACATAGGGGTCTCTCAGCCAACGTACTTGCTGACGGGCTTCATCAAGTACCGTGAAAGAAGACGAGGCAAACTTGCAAGCATCAGTGGGTTATAAGACCACAGCACCCGTCCGAATTTGGATAAGCGCAGAAGCCGATGCACATCCAAGCAGCACGACCTGAGCGCCAACGCATTGTTTCATCCGCCCAGCGGAACGCAACGCCATAGCATGAGAACGTTCTGGAACTTGTTCCCAAGTCACACCTGCACCCAGACCCCCGGGAGCCCGTGGTTGGTTCCCATCATCGGGACCTTTGCTGTAGACGGAGGCCCTACAAGCTGTTTCGTAACGGAACCAACTCGAGGCAACTCTTGTCTCCCATGTCAGAGCAAATGTAGCTCGCAGGCTCGATGCAGACCACATTTGTGTGCCATGGGGATCCTGCTTGAGTGTGAAGATGTCATAGTTGCTGCGGTGAGGCGAAGCGCAAGCGCCGCTGCAATGCGGCTTCCAAGCGGAAGCACCGCCGCCTCCAACGAGAGGCGAGCGGGTAAGGTGTCTTTGCTCTCTCTCGCTCGGGAAAGCGTCCGGTCTTCCAAGTGAAGAGGTTTAAAACGTGCCTGCGAGTATGTGATGTGGTGAGGCAGCACGGGCCAAGGCCAAGGCCGCCAAGGCCAAGGCTGAGGCCAAGGCCGCGGCAGCTGCTCAGGCAGCAGCCAGCAGCAGCAGCAGCAACGGCAGTAGCAGCCGCAGTAGCAGCCGCAGCAGCCGCAGAAGCGACCATGCTGAGGCGCTAGCCTTGCAAGGCTGCGTATGTAAAGTTTTTAAGCGTTATGCAGTCGGTGGAAGGAGATCATACGGTTGCAGCACCGGCTCAATGCATCGCAGGTGCGCCCAAAGCGTGTGCTTGTGCATGAGACAACCTTCAGCAATCTTCAGCATGTCAGCACATCCAGGCCACTAACGAACTCTTGCGGGCGCAGCTTGAGGCCACTGGTTGCAGGGACTTTTGGCAGTGTCGATTGCGAATGCCTTTCCAGGCTGGAGAAGCGGCCGCTCAGAAAGAAGGCTGCCTGCTGCGCAACATGTTTGTTGTTTAACTAACTGACTGAGTGCACCCAGGCAGGGCTTCGCCGCTAGCCCTTTCGCGGGCAGAAGCCGTCATGGCGGGGCACCAAGCCTACGTGCTGCGGATTGATCGTGCCTCAGCACTGCATCAACCTAGGATACGCTGCTCAAGCAGAAAACGCGAGACCTGGCGCGAGACCTGGCGCGAGACCTCGCGAGACAGCGGCCGGAATCTCAGCCAGGCAGTCCCAGAAATGGGAGCTCGACTATGCCTCACTAGATTTCCCACTTTCATGTGCATGGGAAGAGTCCCACCAGAATGTCCAATCAGGCCTCGGCACGGATTTCAGGGATTATGGGCTGGTAGGCCGAAGGGATCCGAGATGCTGATTATACTTTGCCCAACCTCGCTCAGTCATGGGCGGCCAAATCCGGCGGTTTTTCAGCGCAGGGAAGTTGTTGAAGCCCCGGCAACTCTGGCTAGCCCAAGGGTGCGAGTGTGCAGGCCAGGGGTAATATAGGGGCCTTAATAATGAGAATAGGGTTTTGGGGTATATTATACTATTACTATAGTTATCATACGGAACCCCCAAAATAGTATTGGTACTCATTTCCGCCCCTTTTTTGAATCCTCCAGAGGAGCTGCGCCCCGACCACACAGCCCGCAAAGCCCGGCAGAATTGGGAGGATGTGGATCCCTTCAAGATAGATGGATCGCCCAGGGGCCCGAAACTACAGCACCCAGAACCCTATACTGTAAATCCCTAAACCCCAAACCCTAAACGCCAAGGCACAGATGAAAGCTGAGCTCGAGGTGGCCTTCAGCCTTGTTGGGGCTGTGAGGTTCGTGGTTTCGGGTTTCGGGATTACGGTTTAGCGTTTAGGGTTTCGGGATTTAGGATTTTAGGGGCTTGGGGCCTTTGAGATTCGGGTTCAGGATTCGGGGTCCTCACTGAGGCTCAGGGAGAAGAGGTCAGGCTTCCGAAGATCGAAACTTCAAGTCCAACCGAAATGAAATCGACCCGAAACCCACGGCAAAAAAACGAGCACCCTGGACCTGAAGTTCACGACCCAAGGCCTAGACTACCTGAAAAAAAAACTGCCGCAATAGACCCTGGGCGTTTGGGATGCAGGCTCGGGAGGAGCAGCTTCGCGCATCGGAGAGAGCAAAGGTGTGCTCTAAGGGCTTTTTGTTTACTTGGGGGTTCCGTATCCTCGAAACCCCAAGGAGGCCATGACCAGAGTTTGATCGCCAGGGAGTCTGCAAGCCAGGGACTCCTCAGCTTCTTCAGCTCGGGTCTGACACTGCCTCAGGCCTCTAAGCGCAAATTGATCGACCTAGGACCCAAAGTGCTCATTGCATTCTAAACCCTTAGCCCCTAGAGAGCCCTAAACCCTACAGCCAAAGCTAAAAGCCCTAAATGCTCTAAATCTGGGCGGGTGGGAAAAATGCCCTAGATCGACTTCGCACCATGAACCTCGCCTGGCTCTCCGTTGTGAGAGCGCACATGCCTAAATCCCCTGAGCACGACTTCCTTGGTGCTCAGAGGCGCTCCTCGCCGTGCTGCCTCAGGGGCAGGATGCTGCTGGCATGCCCGAGGCCCCCGAAAGGGGCTTTTGGGGTTTAAAATCGGCGGGTGTACCAGTATAGATGTTTAGGGGCTCAGGATTTTGAGGTACAAGGGTTGGAATTGTTGTGTTTTGGGATTCGGCTTCCGAGAAAAAGCTTGCCAGTTTGTGGTTTCGTTGTGTTCGAAGGTGGTATTTTGCATGAGGGTCAGGACGGGAACTCAGGCTTTCTCGATTCGCACGTATTTAGTTGTAGTTTCAATTTCCAAAGATTCACCAACTTCGATGGGAAGGCAAGAAAATGTCTAGGACTAGTATTTCTAGCACGCTGCGGAACAGGCTTTGAGGTTTAGGTGGCGAGGGGTCGTGATCAGTACGATGGAAGTGTGTGGAGTTACTAAAATAAAAGCAGAGGTGCCCCATCTAGAATTTCGATGTCCTCATGGTAGGGATCCTACTCTGCAGGGCCCCTTCTTCACTGTCGGTGTCGCCCATGCAGGCCTCCTTCAGCAGGCCGGGTACATGGATGACGTGAGGCCCGGCAAACATGTCTGGCCGCCCGACGCCACAAAAGAGGCAAGTACTACCCGTGTACCCCTATCCATTGGGCGAGCCCTTGCAGTTGCAGCCAGACTCGAGCCTAGGAGGACTGCCGTGGACTAAGCACTGGTTTTTATGATCGTTCGTCAGGGTCCTCCGCTCGCGGACTTCTCTAGGACTGCAGGAGCAGCTCCTCAACCCCTGATCAAGCCACACCCTTAACTCCTCACCCTTTAGGTTCCCCGACGAAGCTCCGAACCCCGAATCCTTCGTGTTAAGCCCACCTGTATATGAGAGAAGATGGTCGTTGACCATTCCCAGGGTCAAACAGAGACGTTCACTACTGTCTGTTCTACTCGCTGTTTCTTTGTAAGTATCTTATGGCCCCAGCTCTGCAGACTCCCGCATCAGCAGCCAGGGCTTGATACCTTCCTTTGAAGCGGGAGTTCAAGTCTTCACTGTGGTGGTCTAACATCCCCTGGAGACCCCAAACCCTCAACCCCTGAACCCTAAATCCCCGGACCCTGAACCCCTCAACCCCTAAACGTGCCTAAACCCCTATAAACCCTCATAAACCCTAAAAGCCCCTTGGAACCTCGCCCGGCTTGTCCCAGTTGTGAGTGCTGAAAAGCCCCAAACCCCTAAACCGGAGCAATCCGTGAACCCCTTCAAAACCTTGTCCTGTTCAGTGGTGCTGGCGTGGCGGCGTGGCCCAGGGGCGGGCTTCTGAAAAACATGCGTAAGCTGCCTTGAAGCATCCTAAACCGCCTAAACCGTGTATCCTAAACCAGCCTAAACCCTAAGAGCCCTAAGCCATCCTAGACTATCCCAAGTCTAGAAGCCTTTTGAGAGGCCGCCCCATGCACCTCCGTTTTTAGCATCCCCTCAGTCTAAAGAGGCTGCTGCAGCATGCAGGGTCCGAATCATGAGCGCAGCGTGGATTCACTTCTGAAGTCCGAAGTGTAGGGCAGGGTTTAGGGTTTGGGGTTTAGGGTCGAGGGTT